TGAGGTTTATAAGTGGCAGATATTCTTCTAGCCATAAATGTGCCTAAGAGTTGCAAAACTCTTGTCTACAGTGGAATCTTCACCTCAATCAAGGAAAAGTGAGGCCTATGCAGTAAGTTGAGTAAGTCATAAGTTACAGTCACCTGTTAAGCTCAAAATACCTCATGACAGCTAAAGATTCTCAGACTATAGAAGTTCAAAGCCAAGTACAAAAGTATAAAAAACATTTGGCCTAAAATAAGCTTCTATAAACCAGGAAATTTTTTTAAAGCCCAAGACCCATTGGCAATGTGGGCTCCAGAGGCACAATCTTCTCCCCCTATTTTCTCCCTCAAAATTTTCTTACCTTTGTTTCTCAAGGTTGCTGGTGAATAAACCAAATTTGGAGATCTCTGAGGGCCCCTCCCTAATAAATAACACCCTTAATCTATTTTCAGCTTAAAACAAGTTGAAAAGTACAATGAAACCGAAAGGTAGGAGGTCAAATATCACCCGTTACAGGTGGAGGTCAGGCTGCAGGACGCAGTTTGTTAGGGGCTAAGGACGTCCAACGCTAGACATAGATAGATCCTCCTGTATGAATGCAGGAGGCCTGACTAATGGAGGTTTATAGCCGAGAACACACAGGTTCATTCCAAAAATGAAAAAAGTTGGAGCTAAGTCAAGCAGGTTTACTTATTCTTCCCAAAGTTAAGAATCAAATAAGACACCTGTCTCTCTAAGAGCTGGATGAATAAAGGATAGAAAGAGATCTCAAACAACACTAATAGATCTTACTTCACAGGAAGGAAATATCAGAAATGGGGGATAATTATTCCCAGGTAACAATGCCTGGAAACAAGGTTAAATTCTCTGCTCACTGGTGTTCATACTGAGAGCAATTTTTCTCAAGATATTTGTGAATTCTGATAGGATAATATTCTCATATTTAGTTTTTAGTACCATATAGCATTACAGTTTAATAAATCCCACTCCAAATATCAGTGTTTCACAATATCAACGTTAATTCATTTTCATGAAATTTGATATCAGAAAGTCAATTTTGGAATTCAGTCTTCAATTCCACAATTCGGGGAATGTATTCATAGTAGGTCTGTTATTTAAATGTCTGAAAATTGATTTCCCACAAGGGGCCAGATTATTACCTACCAACTAATTTCCCAAAGACTCAACTTCAGTAGGAATAAGTGCTTGAAGCATATGTGTAAATGGCTTAAGAATGACCTTACACAAAAATATTTAATGGTTAGATGCATTTTATTATCAACTAAAGAATTCAATATTTGCAAAGCAGGAGATAGGCAGTGGGGAAAAATTAAGAACAAATTTTCCTTTATAACATGAGGAAGTTGACTTCTTCCAACAATTCAAATGTCATTTTCACCTAACCTTTGTGTAAAGACAGCATATACCTGTGTTATGCACTCAACTTATTCATAAGATATAGCATTACATTTATACACATGTTAACAATCATTTATTTTCAATGTATAGGTCTTGGGCAGTTTATTAATTTATTACTAAGTATTATGATTTTTTGATGTATTAAAAATGCAATTATTTAAACCTTAGGTTCCAGTAATTTACTTCAATTACATAAAAATACAATTAGTTTCTGTATATTGACTTTACATCTTATAAGCCTGCTAAATTCACTTATTTGTTAAAGGAACTGTTTAAGTTTTTTAGGTAAACAATAATTTCACCTGCTAAAAATAACAATTTTCCTCCATCCTTTTGTTTCCTTATGCCTGTTATTTATTTTTCTTGCCTTATTAAACTGACTAGTTCATTATATACAGGCTAAAAGGCTTGGGAGAAAAATGTAATTACTTGAAATGCAGCAAAAATATAAATGACTAAAGAATGGAGGGATGGATAGATATGTGATAAAGCAAATGCAGTTACATGTCCACTGTAAAATACTGGTATGAATTTTGTCAATTTTTTTTTCAGTTTTTTGTTATGTTGGAAACTTTAATAAGATGATATTAAGGAAAATAAAAACCAAAGCAAGAATCCAATTTTGAGAGAGGGTCGTAGGACAAGAGAGACAAGGATAGAAGACATTGTAGGTTTCTACAGTCAGGTGAAAATCAGTAAAATCCAAGGCACAGGATTACAAACAGATGAGCTGCTTCTCTATCAAGAGAAAATACGAATGCACAGAGTAAATAGGACACATACAAATAAACATATGGTAATACAGGATGCATATATATTCAGTTTTGGTAGTTGGCTGATAAGGAGATAAGGTTATCTGCTCTAAATGAAGTTTTGGGAAGGGCATTAGAGACTTGATCAGAGAAATGTTGAGTTTGCTGGGCAGTATTAAGGGCCTATTTCTTGGTTGGTGGCTGTGAGTGTATTAGAGGGGAGTCTGTGCTCACGTGCCTAGATCCAGTTTCTTCATCTACAAAACAGGATAATAAAGGACAACTGCAAGGTTAAGAGAACTAAATAACAGAATGCCCGTAAAGAATCTAACACAGCGCCTCATATGAAGGTACTTAATGTTATTCTGGAAAGACTGTGAAGCTCTTTCCATGCCTACTGCTGTAAATTATTGTGCACAGCTGCACTTCAGGAAGCTGCTAAAGTTTCTTATGCTGCTATCTAACAGAGAAAGTAACTTCAGTAGGCAATCAGCATCAAAAGAGCTGAAACAGGCTCAGAAAGTACCAAGCCACACACGTACCCTACAGTGTTTGTAACCAGCATTAGGCTGTAATTTAAACATGAGTTAAAGTTTTGAAGGATCACTTTTCCTTTACTGAGAGGAAAGCAATTTATTTTTAAGTCTGCACACTACAATCACCTGATAAAAGAACACCTCATGATAACATTTCAAACTTCTACAAATTCCATAGGAACTGTAAACAGGAAAGAAACCAAAGAGCAAACTGCTAGTAAAATCTAGCTCATCAATCTAAAAAACATGATATGACTTTCCTGAGAACTAGGTACAAGGAAAACTGCTGCCAAGGGTTGATTTTCTAATTTTTAAGAAATGTGTTTCATGATTTGGAGTGCTATAATTTGGAAATAACATTTAAATTCCTATTACTCAGAGGTGCTATAATTCAAAGTAAAAAACAGTACTTAAGGAAAAAACATAGCAAGAGGTTTTTGTGTGTGATGCATATTGCACAACTTCTAATATTTTATGTACAAAAATTTGAATTATAAAAACATAAAACTAAAGGGGAGTGACATCAACATCACAGCAGCTTAAGATGCACCTCATTTTTGTCTGCTTGCCAACAACAAGATTTGGCGTCGACCCATGGGCAGAAATGCCTTTGAGAAAGCTGTGGAATCCAGCACCATAAACCAAAGGACCCGAGAGGAATCATGCTCAGTCATTTACTGCATTTCCAAGTCTTGGCTAATGTAAACAGTGTTGCTATCAACATTTGCTAAACTTCTAGTTCTGTTCATTTTAAAGAACTATGTAAGATCAGTGATTTACACCCAGAAATCAATGCCTTCACACAACTGTGACATCGAAGAGTTGAGGGAAAAAGAGAATTCAGAGGCTGGGATGGCTGAATATGCATGGCAGAAATGTGGAAAGAGGCGAGTTACATAGAAAAGTTCAACAGAAATCTGCATAATGGATGCCTTGCATCTTTGGCTAATTATTAAAGTGAAAATACATTGAGTAAAACCTCACTTTGAGCATTTCTCCAAAGAGAAAAAAACAAGCAAACAACACAATACAACTGGGGAAAGACCTGCTGGAAACGAAACTGAATAATTATCAGAGCTCACATAGGGCTGGAAGACAATGAGTTCTGGTGACTCAGGATACAGGCTTCATTGATCTCTGGAGCATTCAATCTCTGGGACAAACTTTTTACTTCCCTTCCCCCACCCACCCACCCCCCGCCCCCGGCCCCCGCAAATTAGAACAATCTTAGCTCTCCCAAACCTCACTTTCCCAGTTCTTCTGTTACAATATCAATATCCCTCCTAACATGAAGACTGAGACTTCCAGTTGGGGCCAGATTAATATCACTTGCTCCCATAAAAAGGCCACCATCGTTCCTCTTAACCTGAACAGTTTTCCAGGTTTAGGTTTTCAGTGAGTGTGTAGCTGTGTCTTTGCCAACTAAACACTTCCTGATTGCTTGGCACCAACTGCTACAAAAGCAGGTCTTCCCAATATTCTTATACAGACTTTGACTTACAGACTTCAGTCAGACTTTTGTCAAGCAAACCCTTTGTTCCATGAACCAAATTTCTGAATAAAAGTGTTCCAAAGGACAGGACCAACAATACAACAGCATACTTGTTCAAAGAATACTTTCAATACTAATATACCTTTGCTTCAGAACTATATGATGGATATTCTTCAGGACGCTCAAGTATTAATAAAAAGATCTTTATTTTTTAATAGTCAACCTTATACCAAATCTGAATCACTGAAGTAAAAGCTGGATTTCTACAGTTTTAACAGATATGGTCCATGCAATTTTCTCCATACCCATGCTATTATAATTCAAAATTAATTCCTATATATGCTGCAAAAATATAATTCTTGGTTGAGGGAAAATATGATTAAAGATAATGACTTGCCAAGTAAAAATTTATGTACCTGTGGCCAAAAATGGTCATCTGGAGGTCAGAAAACAAAAACTGATTTTTTTAGGTAAATTTCCTTCAGCAGGGGAGAGAGTGGATGGAAATGGGAGGATTAATACTGCATACCTGGAAAACATACTTTTAAAGTAAATTAAAATCATGTTCCTAGACTCTACAGTTTCCAGTTGTATCCTTTCAATACACTTCAATAGTACACTAGCAGTTATTTAACTCAGAGAATAATGATTAATAATTCAGAGGAATTACTACCTTCCCCCTCCAAAAAAAAAAAAAAAACAACACAAATAACACATAGTTAAATAATGTTAGTTTATTTTACCTGCAGCTCTTCCAATATAAATTGAACGTAAATGATGATACTGAGATACATTAGGAAGAATTACTGAGAGATGTCAGAATATCATGCCTTCTAATCCATCCTCCATGAACTTCTTATAAAGTGCCATAAATTTGGCCACAAATGCTTCCAAGTGATAAATGGCTTTGCTACCCAGTTGCAGACGATGCTCATAGTAAGCTGCCATCTGGGCCACTTCTCCTTTCAGTTGTCCATCGCAATTATGTAAAAGTTCTGAGAGAAGGCCCTAAAGAAAGATAAATAGCAACTTTACAAAGTAATAATTTAAAAAATATTAGCTAAATGTGCTTTACTTTTCTCATTCAAAACAGAAGTGAAACTTAAATATTGATATGTTCTCTTTTTTTATTTTTGATGGACCAGGAGACTTCATCCAAAAGAACATACTATTCTATAGAGTAAAAATGTGATAGTTATCTATCATATTTCAACCTCAAATACTTAAATGTACAAGGGTGCAAAGATTTAAGTACAAAGATGCTTACTGTAGCATTATTAATTATAATAATCTATAGACAACCTGAAGTCTAACACTTCAGGTTGTAACACTGGGGTTATATCCAAAAAACCTGTACAGTCATACAATGAAACCCCAGTCATGTACCAAAACGAATGAGGCAGCTCTCTACTGTCATGAAACAGCATTCATACTACACTGCTTAATTTAAAAAGCAAAATAGTGTAAAAGACACTAAAGCTTTGTGAAACATACATATATGGACTCAATTCAATGTGACTTGAAAAGAGGTCTTATGAAAACAGAAGGGGAAACCTTTACTTTTCACTTCATATATTTAATATCATTTGAATCTTTTCATGTAATTTTAATAAACACAAATAAACAAAAAGTCCTGTATTGCCTAATATGTAACCGTCAATCTACAATATCTTTCTAGCTAGAGTTGATTAGGTTTAGACCAGACTTAAAGCTGTCCCTCACAAATCACTACCACCTTCTTTAACCTCAATTTTCAAGTGCACTGAGGCTTGCTGTCTAAAATATTAATACTATTCCCTGACTTCTTGCATGGATCCACCTTTCAATCCTTCAAGTTTCAGATTAAACATACCTTCCACAGAAGCCATCACTGACCTTCCATAACTCAGCCCTCCATTTTATCATTTCACCTGGTCACTGCCTTTGTAGTACTTAAACCATTCTGAAAACCTCTTGCTTCTTATTTCCCATTCCATTTCACCAAAATGTAACTTCTCTGAAGAAGGCCCACCTTGTTTCCTTCAACACACCCCTAATGGTGACTGGCACACCTTACAAGCTCCATACAATTTGGACTTTGAGTATCTGCTGAACTAATGAGATGGGCAGAAAGAACTGACAATATATCTTTGTGCAGCAAAAGCCATGATACCACATAATCAAAGTCCAAATTGTATGGTTATAGACAATTTCAGATTTGAAATCAGAATACCTTCATTATTATTTCAGGAGGAATACAATGAGTTAGAAGCTCATACAGTCTTCCACGAACTTCAAGGAGCCTGAACAAAACAAAACAATACTTTGTGATGAAAACAGGAGATCATTTTTCCAAGTACCTACTGTGCCATATTTAAGAATTAAACATCCCAATACAAACGTTTTCTTCAATGGCTTATCATATTTAAGATACATATATGGGAGCTTTTCCTAACTTTAGTTCATTTTTCTAAAATAAAATTATAGAACTATCTTAAAGTCAGACAACATTTATATTCATTTACATACACACACACATCCACACAGTATTTATATATATACACTGAATGTACAGAAAAGGCTTCACGCATAGTAAGGGTTGAGCTTATTCACACCACGAATTTTTGATGTATTAATGATACATCAAGTAATATTTTTCTTTCCTTCTCCAGATAGATGATATGTAGGAAATGAGAAAATGGTTATGAAAATATTAAATAATGTCTATTACAGAAGAAAATATAACATGAATATAACATAATGCATATAACATATAACATCTCAACTGCAAAGTAAAAAAAAAAAAAAAATTATGGCAGAGAAACAAAGCTGTTTTGTCACAGAAGCAGCAGTAACAAGAGGGTAGAGGTGGGCACAAACCAGGCTGGCTAAGTGAATATGGCCATTTGTTGGAGGGCTCTGTAAGCTCACAATTCTAGGCCCTTCTCATAACATTTTCAGGAAGAAAAAGGGTTAATGAGGGAAATATACATGTAAAATATTACAACAGCAAGAAGTGACAAATTGTAAGTATATATACAAAAGTAACTTAATCTTTCAAAATATAATTACCTACCCCTAAAGAAAAAATATCATTCTGAATCTTTACCAAAATAAGATCACACTATGTTCTATATTTCAGATCAATCAGGGAAGTGATTTTTAAAAGATCTCTTCAAAGTAGAAGTTAAGACCCCCTTCCTGAGATTCCAGGAGTATGAAGTTGTGCCACAATGAAACTAAATAAGGAAAGTGAAAAAAAAGACTAGCATTTTTTAAGCAACTGCTATGCACAAGACACTATGACAATAATTTAACTCAGTCACCACACCAACTATGGTGAGGCATTATCTCCATTTTTTTTTTAAAGAAAAAACTAAGGCCTGGATGGTTTAAATAAACTGACAAAGTTGACCACAGCAGAGCCATGATATAAGCACAGATCTGTCTTAGCCCATACCCTTCCAGTGTCTGCCAAAGCATCTATTTAATCTCTTATCTGTATGAGGTTCACTGCAGTACACTATTTCTCACAAACACAAGTCTCTTTCACTGAAGAGAACATGAAGTTCACAGAGGTTAAGCTTCCAGCAAAACTTATGTAGTTGAAGCAGCATTACCTGAAGTCTGATTCCAAAGGCCTTAATGTCTCTTGGACATGGCAGTATACACCCAAATAAAATCTGATTCTTAACGTATAAATGACAGATGGTATGAAATTATTTTAATAATGATGCATATAGCTTATTTCTGAAAAGCTGATTCACAATATATTTACCTATAAAACTGTACTATAACAATACTGTGTGCATCTCACACATGTTCTCATGCTTCTCTTAGTCTGAGTTCATTTCTAATATGATTTCATTTCTAAAATTAATATATTCTACATTATTAAGCCTGTCATTATCTCTTGGAGGTTACAAATGGTAATGATTATCTCTTGGAGGTTACAAGTGATAATGAGTACAAATTATTCTGTCAGAGAAACATGGTATTCTAGAACTGCCTCTGCCTCTTACTAACCAAATGTCCCTGAAAAAAGCAACAATCTCCCAAAGAATCAGTTTTCTGATTACCATCTGTAAGATGGTAAAAATGCATTCCTCATAGGACTGTTATATGAATTAAATGAAATAGTGTAAATGTCAGCATAATAACTGCTCATCAGATATAAGCTGCTATTCACATGAGAAAGGTGGAGCAGAGAACCTGCCTGCAAAGGCAGGAGATGCAAGAGATGTAGGTTCGGATCCCTGGGTCGGAAGATCCCCGGAGAAGAAAATGGCAACTCACTCCAGTATTCTTGCCTAGAAAATTCCACAGACAGAGAAGCTTGCAGGGCTACAGTCTACAGGGTCAAAAAGAGTCGGACACTATGGAGCACATATCACAGACACATATCACATTAGAAAATAAGAAATTTTCTAAGATGTAAGACTATAAATATTATAATGAGACTACAAGGTAAAAAATCAGAAGGAGTCACTGGCACTGTGCGGACCAATGCTCAAAACAACACTGGCCATTCTAGTACTTCTGGACAGCTTCAAGGCTTTCGGAAATGAAGAGGAATATTTTGTTTTAGACACACAATGGCATCAAATCCAAATCTGTTAATCTAAATAGGGAACAGCAGCACTTCTTCTTGGACAAACTCATTTATGAGCTGTCAAATTTTGTTTGGAAACTGGAGGAACAGGCAGCAGCAGCAGAATTAAGAAAAGTAATAATCAAGTCTTAAAAATACATTTAATAATGTCAAATATTGCAACATCTGTACCTAAATCTCTTTAAGAGTGGGAAAGTTCAACTATTATCAGCTATTTTTCTTCTTCAAAATCAGAACAAAAACAAGAAAGGTCACCTTTGGTGTGGAAATATTTTATGACAGTAAAAAGCTCCTGAGACATGCTTCATTTGAATTTTATTTCCTTAAAACTTGAGATTTCTTCACTACCTGACAACATTTACAAAATGGAATGCACACTTTTTCCTAAAATTAAGGTTTCTGAAGAATCTACTTAAAACATCTGGCACTTTTCAAAAACTATTTCAACTAAAATAAATGAAGAGGAATTCAATGCAAACTTTGATAAAATATTAAGTACCAATTTCCTATGACCATTCACCTCCTCTAATCTACTATGGTCATCCTACAGTACATATTGTAACTTCCTTTGAAGAATTTCTTAAAAAAATAACAATTCTCAGATATACCACCCAAGAGAAACACAGTATATTCCTTCTCCCAATTATGTTCACGTAAACCAGGGAAGCTTACATTTCAGTGGTTGCACTCAGTCTAGTCTGTTTCCTAAAATAATGAATAACCCTCTCTAAAGTCCAAAGATGGTTTCTCATTTCAGGCAGGCAAAAAAAGTAGGAGACTGTGTCTCAGTGAGCATATGGGACCATCACCAGACTTTCCAAAAGTACCAAGCCTTAAGACTGTCATTCTTGATTTGGAGAAGAGCCAACTGCCCTCCTCAATCAAAGTCATACCAAATCCAACAGGCTGTGGTTGAAGTGCGTTCATATAGTCTACTATTGAGTAAGAGACCCAAGAATAAACAGAAACATCTGTGCAGCAAATATGCACAGAACACTTCCTACACACTGACGGCGCATACATAGTGTTATTCTTAACAGAGCCTGTCATCACATATGAGCACGGGGTCTTCTAGTTCCCAAACCACTATCACACAATCTCTCTTCATTATACAAATAAAAAAGCTGAAGCTCTAAATTTATAAAGTTACCTGCTTAAGGACACTTAGCTAAAAATTAGTAGAACTAGAAGTCTACCCACAGTCTAGTGTCTTTCTATAACACATTAATTACAAAGTTATACACTGTTATCTTCAATATTAGAAAGCTAGATACATCATGCTATGCATTAATATTAAATTTCCCAAGATTCTGAGGGGAAAAAAAAAAGCCTTAAACTTCCAAAATTTCTTTCAATTTATGTGTAAGTTCCATACTTACATGCCAGTAGCTTTTTAAAAGCCATGATATCATACACCAACTATTCTGAAACATTAAATGTCTAAAATCCTACTTTTTCTTTAGAAGTATAGTATTTTATAATTTAATTATAATGCTAAATGGCATGGTATCAGTATAAAACAGCTAACCTGGAACTTAGAATATCTGTACTATCTCAGTGATCAAACTTTTATGGTGATCTTTTATAGTGGTTACCTCTGTGGAGTTTGTTGACTGACAATAGCATTGGCAGTCTCCCTCAGATACACCTCCCAATCTGTTTCAGGGATTTCTTGATCTGCAGTAAAAGGATATCTACATGACAAAAAGAGAACACAATAGATTAAATGAAAGTGGGCTGATATCACAACATGATTCCTGTGGTAACTGACCCCTTTTACTCACTGTTGCACTCTGCAGGCTTCACACATAAGCAGAGCTTTTCTGAGATTTCTGCAGGACTTCTCTGCAAGTCTATGAGCCAGTTGTGGAGGAAGATTTAGACCCTCCTTCTTACACACAGTAGATAACACATGGCAAATCTACAAATAAAATAATTAACATAAATGAACAATCTGTCAAACTACATGCTGAGATGAATTCTGTTAAGAACATTGTTACAGAACCCCAACCTTTCTTTTTTTGGTCACTACCCTACCTTAATCCACTGTTCCTTCAGCAGGAAGCCAGGAGTCTAAACTTAGCTATCAGGTAGAGTCAGCAACTAGATGGGCACCTGGAGAAAGATCTGGTCCCAGTTCCATGCCTGCCTGCCTCCTCGAGGCAGCAGGAAGTTGGAGACACAGGGCCTCAGGTTGGTGGCAAAGACACTGCTCACAAGGCTGCCAAGTTGAGCTGCACAAGCCTAACTGGACACAACTCAGGCACTAAGATGTGAATTGTACTCATAGGAGAGACGTAACCTGGTGGTCCTGCTGCTTTATAGACATTTTTAACTCTATCACTCTCAAAATCTTTACAAGTGAAATTCACAACATACAGTGTCACGTATTATCCCTACTTTGCATCAAATCACCCCAAACCTATTAACAGCAGAAACTCACTTATTGTGAGAAACTGGCATTTTTACTGATAGCTATTAAGAGCGGTAAAGGAAAAAAAATACACGTTATGTTGATTCAGACTAACTTTGGTCTCTGAACTTGGGACTAGGAATTCCTAAATCATCTTCTCGCAAAATCTATTTCCTGAATATTCAAGTCTCTTCTATAAGCCAATTAAGTCAGGCTGAGGTAGAAGATACTACATAACTTGCTTTTCCTTAGTTTCATAAAATCCACAATTACTACCTATTTAAAGTAAAAGATGATTTAAAGAAAAGAACGTTTTCTATATACTGGTATCTGGTGTTTACTACTATACAGATAATGGTTTGAGTCAGCACCTAGGCCATAGCCATTTCTGAACTGCTGACATAGTTCACTATGTTTTTGCAAAGACAAACACAGTAGGGATGTACACATAGTATGCATGGATCTGAACTGAATTCTTCTGAAAAATTTAACTTGACTTACATCTTCAATGCTGGGAGCAGGCACACGAACTGCAAGGCACCTACTACGAATAGGTGGTATCACTTTAGATGTAGAATTGCAACACAAGATCAATCTGCAGGTGGACATATACTTTTCCATGGTTCTGCGCAAAGCATGTTGAGCATCTTTAGTAAGTTTGTCAACTTCTGTCAATAACACAACTGAGTCAAGGAGAAACAAAACAAACTTTAAGTATTTATCTTTCTCATTATTCAGAGTGAAATCCTAAATAGTAAGCCTAATATACTACTTTTCCCTTTGGAGAAGACATACAAAAGTTATAGGTATGGTGGGAATAATTTATTTTTATTTAAAAAAATTCTAAGATCAAACAAGCCTAAGAAACACTAGGCTAATGAAGTTAAAGAAGTTATTTTGTTGCAGAATCTACTGCAGTCTTTATTATACTTATATGCAATAAAAATCACCAAAACAAGGATATATTGTGCTGCATTCACCCAAAATATTTCACTCAGGAGTGTATTTCTGTAGAAAATCTTAGCATTCTAAGGAATATACTTTGGAAAACACTGTCACAAGAGATGTGGTAAATAAGGGATAAAGATATCTGGTTACTTGTATAATAAGATTCTACCTGGTCATAATCAAGGATTGGCCTTAAAGTGTTTAAGAAATTCAGTCTACAGGGACTGAATCCAACTGTTGCATTGTATTAAATTACTTCAAGAAGATGACAGTGGTAGCAGTGCAGCATTTGAATCTCTCCTATAAAAGAACAGATTCCAAGATCTAAGACAACATTTACATCGAAACTAGGTGACAAGCTGTCCCCAAGAACCCTAAATATAAGTAAGTGAGAACAAGAAACTACGTGTGTGAGGAAGTGGCTAGGATCCACCAGCTTTTTTATATCTTCAGAACAGTAGAACCTTAAATCACCCCCAAAAGCACACTGGATATATGGGTCAATCTGAGAACAGCATCCATAGGGTTCAATTCATGGACAAGAGCTAAGGGACCTTGATGCAATAAGATCTGACAGAGCAGCGGACTGAAAATAACAAAATGAAGCTCTCTTCCAAGACAATGCTTCCCAATGACAAGTTCTGGAAATCGAACCCAAACTGACTAGAATAGGAATATAAAGACAAGGAAATCGATCACAATATCTGACAAGGATAGCAGTAAAAAAGTAATGCAAAACTAAATTACTGCTAAGCAGAAAACGGCAAAATATTTTAAAAACTGTAGTGAGGTTTATTCCAGAAATACAAAGCACTTTCATTAGACGATCCAGTAAGATAATAATGAGAACTAAGGAGAAAAATTACAAGACCACATTCATGGGTACAGAAGAATATTTGAAAATTAAAAAAAATTTCTATTTTGAAGTGTAGAGATTAAGCAGAAAAGAAATAAGCTGGAATACGTAAGATGATTCACCAAACAGTAAAATGACCAATGAAAAAAGAGATAAAATTATCACATTCACTAAAGAAAAAGTACAGCTTACTTTCTCCACTAAAACTAACAAGGATTAAAAATAATTATCCAGTATTGATAAATGTTAGAAATGGGCATTCCTAAACACTGCTGGCAGTAGCACAAATCTCTATCTTTTTTCAAATGAAGAATTTGGCAAAATATATCAAAAGCATTAAATATTGGCATATCTATCAAAAAACCTATTGTAAAAATATATGGTGTTATGCACATAATACTGGAAATGTTAACAGTAACGATCTCTGGATGGTGGGATTATAGCTGATTTGAATTTTCTTTTGTTTAGCTAAATATTTTATAATGAACATATAACTCTGGTTCAAAGAATCATTATTTTTAAATCATGCAATTCCCTATTTTAAAGTGTTTTTCCATTACTCATCTAAATATTTTACTAATTCTATTTTACTAATTCTAAAATAACAAATAGGTGGCACAAATAGTTCTCTTTCTGCCACAAGTCAACTCCATTAGACTATAAACTCCTAGGAGCACAGAGATTAGGTTTCTCTTCTTCACTTTTACATATTAAAAAAAAAAAAAAAGTTGGCATAGTGGTTGGCATAGAACAGATTAATAAATATTTGCTAAATGGTTGGAATTTACATTCCTCATTACATTTTCCTCTTATACCCACTGCTTATAATTTAAGTGTCTGCGTCATCCAAAAAAAAAAAATTATCACATACCTTTAAAATCTTTTTGAGAGCTTGTTTCAAGTTGCTGTGACTGTGCCACTGTTTTCAACATCTCCTGAATTACAACCCGATCACTATTTCCAGCATCACTACACAAAATAAAAATAGTGGTAAATATATACACATAAATATTTAATTAGTACTAGCTATTATTCGTAAGCTAAGAAAAATGTTGAAGATCTTCAGTGATTAAAATTTTAAGCAAACTGAGTGACACTACATTCACAAAACGTAAAGTGAAGTGTTTTAGGATCACTAAACATACTCCTATACTCAACTACAATTTGATTAAAAACTGAAAACACCAAGCATGTTCTTAATATTAAGTTTATTGCCACTTAAAAAGAGCTACAGCTATTAACAGTATCAAATACTTTGACACTTCTGTATCCACTATATCCACTATAGTTAATACCTAGTCACAGCTAATTTCTTAGCTATCTACAACTATTCAAAATATAAAAATAACTTGTTAAAACAAACTTGATCTGTATTCTTCTTCTCCATCCCCAAAACAGCAAAGGTGTGAGAACAAGCCTAGACAAGTCGTTCCACTACCAGCAGAGTTGATTCAAGGTCTTAGAAAGGGGATGGGATAAGCAAATGGAGTTCAGGATACAAAACAGAAGCTGTTGACTTATAGGCATTACAAGTCATTTATACCAATATCATTGCTTTAACACTTAAGCCCTGCACCTCACAAACCAAAATAAGTCACCTGGTTAATTTAGGCTGAATGTCAATTCCAAACACCTGAAAAACAAAAAGCTTAATCTCCAATTGACTATTCGTGCTACAAAGAACTCTTAATGAGGAAAAGAGGGCAAAGAAATCAGCTTTAGTTTATTTTCCCAAACAGCCATCAAGTCTTTCTCAATATTATTAGATCAATATACCCTCTAATCAAAAAACTGAACAGAAATGGAAAGAATGAACTAGTAATCCTAATCCACTTTGTAAAATATTTTCTCAGGCATTTACAAACTTTTTAGACATACTTTGCTCACCAGTTCTGAATAAGTCAATATAAAAAAAACTTACTGACTATTCAAAGTACTTTGTGTAACACAGAGCTCTATAGAGCAAGAAAACTTAATTATCAAAAATATTTGACTTGGAGGAGGGGTCTCAGAGAGAAGGGAAAGTGGAAAGGTTCTAGGCTCCCTGTTTCACACAGGGCAGCTTCATTTTTATCTGTTTTATATTTTGTCTCTCCATACATGATTTTCATATCAAAAAAGCATTCTACTCTTTAAAAATGTCTGAACACCACTATTCTAAAAATGCTTATTTCTATGTAGTAGCCACTTACCTAGGATTAACTTCAAGGTGGTAATTGCTTGCAATAGTGCTAATTTCAATTTTCTTTTTAGATGGAGTCTGTGGACAAAGAAAATAGTTTTAATGTTTATTGGCTATTTCTCCTATTATCTGTATTTCACTGTTTTTCTAATTATATAAACACTTTATGTTTACTATAAAAATAAAACTTTAGATAATCACCACTAATGTTAGCCCTATTCTTTTTTTTTTATTTATTTATTTTTTTATCACAACCATAGTGTATCTTTTTTTTTTTTTTTTTTTTTTACATGTATTCCCCATCCCGGTCCCCCCTCCCACCTCCCTCTCCACCCAATCCCTCTGGGTCTTCCCAGTGCACCAGGCACGAGCACTTGTCTCATGCACCCAACCTGGGCTGGTGAACTGTTTCACCCTAGATAATATACGTGTTTCAATGCTGTTCTCTTGAAACATCCCACCCTCGCCTTCTCCCAGAGTCCACAAGTCTGTTCTATACATAGGAGTCTCTTTTTCTGTTTTGCACATAGGGTTATCGTTACCATCTTTCTAAATTCCATATATATGTGTTAGTATACTGTAATGGTCTTTATCTTTCTGGCTTACTTCACTCTGTATAATGGGCTCCAGTTTCATCCATCTCATTAGAACTGATTCAAATGAATTCTTTTTAATGGCTGAGTAATATTCCATGGTGTATATGTACCACAGCTTCCTCATCCATTCGTCTGCTGATGGGCATCTAGGTTGCTTCCATGTCCTGGCTATTATAAACAGTGCTGCGATGAACATTGGGGTACACGTGTCTCTTTCAGATCTGGTTTCCTCGGTGTGTATGCCCAGAAGTGGGATTGCTGAGTCATATGGCAGTTCTATTTCCAGCTTTTTAAGAAATCTCCACACTGTTTTCCATAGTGGCTGTACTAATTTGCATTCCCACCAACAGTGTAAGAGGGTTCCCTTTTCTCCACACCCTCTCCAGCATTTATTGCTTGTAGACTTTTGGATAGCAGCCATCCTGACTGGTGTGTAATGGTACCTCATTGTGGTTTTGATTTGCATTTCTCTGATAATGAGTGATGTGGAGCATCTTTTCATGTGTTTGTTAGCCATCTGTATGTCTTCCTTGGAGAAATGTCTGTTCAGTTCTTTGGCCCATTTTTTGATTGGGTCATTTATTTTTCTGGAGTTGAGCTGGAGGAGTTGCTTGTATATTTTTGAGATTAATCCTTTGTCTGTTGCTTCGTTTGCTATTATTTTCTCCCAATCTGAGGGCTGTCTTTTCACCTTGCTTATAGTTAGCCCTATTCTTAATGCACAGGTAAACATATGTTTTTATATACACTAGGTCATATCGCACATCCTGTTTCTAGTGGATCACTTTTTTCCTTTACCTCCAGAAACCTCCAACCATCCCCAGTTATTAGCAGATCATCATTATAAACAATCTGCATATGTCCTTTCACAGCCTGCTCCACAATAATACACAAAAATAAACACATACTATTAATAACACATTATTGTTAGTTTCTTATAAAAATTGTTTTTAAAAGAGGTAATCATATATATATTTCTGTTTCAAAGTGAAATGCTTACTGTGATGGTCTGATGTTCAATTCTCAATTTTTCCACTCCAACACCATAAAGTTCACGTAGAATACACATAATTCTTGTCTTTTTTCCAGCACCTGATGGTCCATACACTAACAGATGAGGAAAGTCACCACATTGCACCTGGAATAAAAAGGAGAAGGCATTTTCCCTAGAGAAGCCATTGCTTCTACGTGTAGAAACTACTTTTTATGTATGAAATATTTTGTGTCTCTACGAAAGTTCGAAAATATGTGTGTGAATGAACATAGAGACAGATGTATTTTTAACTATGAAATCGATATTCCCCTGGGATTAATGCTATATAACTTATATATCTAGCACAGTACATGTAAGATACAACACTATATGCTAGAAAGCAAGAAATCCCAAACCTGGCTGGCTATCAGATGTGCTAAAAAAAACTTTTAATAAAAGACTGATTCCAGGACTCCATCCACAAGATTAAGATTCAGTAACGGATACTGTGATGCCTGCCGTAGTCTGCACTTCTACAAAGAGTCCCTTTGATAGGAAATGAGTGCATTTGGTTTTATTTGGAAGGTAAAGGAAAATTTTGTAGGGGAGAAGGAAAGCAAAGGGGGGAAAGGCAGCCAACAAGTGTTATCAACTTAAATACCACTCTGGACATCTGGAGCTTGATCCTGCTGGGGATACACTTGAAGCCAGTGTGAAAATACATTATAGTATTAAACCACCCAAGGAATGGGGAAGCTGGAGTATGATACATTCAGTTCAGTTCAGTCACCCAGTTGTGTCCGACTCTTTGCGACTCCATGAATCGCAGCACGCCAGGCCTCCCTGTCCATCACCAACTCCCGGAATTTACCCAAACTCATGTCCATTGAGTCAGTGATGGCATCCAACCATCTCATCCTCTGTAGTCCCCTTCTCCTCCTGCCCCCAATCCTGCCCAGCATCAAGGTCTTTTCCAATGAGTCAACTCTTCCCATCAGGTGGCCAAAGTATTGGACTGAGCTTCAGCAGCAGTCCTTCCAATGAACACCCAGGACTGATCTCCTTTAGGATGGACTGGTTGGATCTCCTTGCAGTCCAAGGGACTCTCAGTCTTCTCCAACACCACAGTTCAAAAGCATCAATTCTTTGGTGCTCAGCTTTCTTCACAGTCCAACTCCCACATCCATACATGACTACTGGAAAAACCATAGCCTTGACTAGACGGACCTTTGTTGGCAAAGTAATGTCTCTGCTTTTTAATGCTATCTAGGTTGATCATAACTTTCCTTCCAAGGAGTAAGCGTCTTTTAATTTCATGGTTGCAATCACCATCTGCAGTGATTTTGAACACTACCTCTCCTCAAACCTTTGCTAGCTTGTAAAAGAAAACGGGGGAGAAGGCATTAATTCCCTGGCATTTCAAGTCTGCTTAGAGGTGTCAGCAAGAAAAAGCCTCCAGCAAGTGCAGATGCTGGGAGCTGGAAATCAGGTCTGCGTAATCTCACAAGTTAAGAGCAAGAGAATGGAGTAGGCCGCTGACAATTCTATATCACAGAACAAGACTATGTGTTTTAAATATGTTCACAGGTGATTCTGATGCTCAGTCAGGCCTGGGGATCAGTGCTGTGAAGCTTATAAAAATGACAAGAACATAGACCTTAACTTCAGATGCATAAAATCTTGTGGAGTGTAACTTTATAAATAACTATTTAAAAATAAATAAGTATCAACAGAAGTGCTGTTAAGTGAACTTTAATACTTTACAAACTTATCTATCGCTGGCACTGAAAGAAAAAAGTGTCAAGGTAAGGAACTATTCACCTAATACAGTGCATGGAAAAAGGAGGTGCTCCACAAATACAGCTTTCATTTTTTAAATTTCGAACTCAGCAAAAATAAAAGTTATGCTGCAAGTGTTTCACAGTTTTATTAAGTTGAAAATTAAAACGTAAACAGGTGCTTTAATCTATTAACTCAAGACTAACATACTAAATCTCTACCCAAATATTTATTCCAAATCCTATACAATAAAAAAGGGGACAAAGAAAATAAAATATATCCCATGGTTAAGAAAATCAAAGAGGACAGTCCTCAGGGAGACTCTGTTTGCAAGCACAGTCCCCGGCCCCACAGTCTGTCCCGGTCCCTGTTTTACTTTTCTGCACAGCACCTGACACTTTCTAAAGCCGGAGAGCGAAGCTCCGCTCGTGAAGGGCGCGAGACCCCTGAGGGGCGCACCTCCCCTCCCCCGGCTCTCTCCGCCCCGTCCCGCCGACTCACCAGGTTGCGCAGCTGGGCCGCCTGCTCCTTGTGATAGTCCAGCTGTCCCAAGGAGCAGGGCCGATATTTGTCCACCCAGAGGCTCATTCCAGCCCGAGTTCCGAGGGTCAGACACTCGAATGTCCCGCGCGCGCGGGATGTGCGTCCCCCCAATACACTCGCAAACAAGTTTTCCCGCGATCTCCAAATCTCGCGACCTCACTACCGGCTTGTTCCCGTAGTTAGGGACGGCAAGACTACGGAAGCCTAGTTTGGACAGAATTGGTCTCAATGTCGGAACCGCCTACTTATTAATGTTCATTGTTTTATTTAATAATTTACTCTTTGCTCTCACCCTTATCATAGTACAGGAATTATTAAGCAAAACTGGAAAATTGGCTCTGATACTCTAGGAGTCAAATCCGGGTACTTCAGAGAAACCGCCCTTCTGAACTCGCTTCATTCGTTCATTCATTCACTCGTTCCTTCCACTGAAACCTACCAACTATTTACCTTGTGGAGTTCTACATTTGGCACCAGAATATATCGGCTTGGGACTTGTCTCACGTGGCAGGGACCAAAACAAGCTCTATTGAGTAAACAGCTAAAATTAAGATCTAATCTTCATTACCTTTCCTGACCTCCATTTCTCAAGATTCTTACTGAGTTTAAAGCTAAGGAATCTGAAAGGTCGTGAAAAAGCTACAGAAATGTGACCACTCAAACTGCACCTCTTAAATGCACTTCTCTCCATGTATGTAATTTTAATTACGTGTTTAACTTACCCTTTTGCTTTACATATTGTTCAGAATCCTAAATACTGCAACGGGTCAGGAATTAATTTACAATATGTGTAACCTTCTATCAAGGTCCCTCCCTCATTCACTTATGACACAAGAATTTATTGTATTCTCTGAATCATCATAATTACTGAATTATTCATATGTGCAGGAAATTACTCAGCACAATTAATAACAACATCAAATAAAAGACACAGTCTTTATTTGCAAAAAACTTTTGAAACAACCTGGGAGACCTCTACCTTAAGACATTTCCACTTAGGATTTCATCCCAGTGCACTTCTCTGGGGCAAACCTGTAACTGGTTCTTGCCAGAATCAGGAGTAAGGTTCTTCTTCAGGCTGGATCTAATTTTGTTTCTTTGAAGAGGAAGAAATTTCATGGTTGCAAGAAGCTGAGAGACCAGTTAAGGTCATAAAAGGATATATGTAACTTTGGCTTTAGCCCTGTGCTAATGAGTTTTCTTCTCTTTTCATATACTTGGACAGATTTGGACCTTCTTTTTCAGACAGCATACCCAGAAAAATTTGCTGGTATCCCGGCCTCTATTTATTTAATAAAAATGAGAAAGTTCTGACCCTTTTTCTTATAATTTGTTCTCTGATTGTCAATGATCAATTATAATTGGTAAATATAACTTATAATAAAGCATCAGTTATAATCCCATTCCCTCATTTAACACAGGACTAATAGGAAGATCCCTTTCTGCACTTTAGAAATAAAATTAAATACTAAGTTAGAGAAAATTTTGAAGAGATTATGAATGGAAAATTCATAGTAAATTATGGCAGAGACAATGCTCTGTATTCACCAAATCTCTTTCCTGTTCCTCCCGGGGACAAGGATGCTTTCTCCAGCTTCCTCAGTAATTAGTGGAATTATGTGACTGAGTTCTGGCCAATAGAAAGTAGGTCTGCAATGATGAATCCTATCTCCATTCCTATCCAATTTAAACTCCTGGGTTCTCCTGCATACTTTCTCTGTTCATTGGCCAGTTAGATGCAGAAAATCCAGAGGAGGGTTTTGAGGCTCTCAGGGACAGTTGAGGCCCTTGATAGTAGGAAACCAAGTTCCTGCATCTTAGGCCAGAGTGATCCACCCTCTCCCCCAAACAAAGTGGGTAGTTTATGCGGGAAAAGATCAAATGAATCATCAGTGAGAGATTGAGAAAAATGAAACAGAGGATCACATAAAGCCAGAGCACCCTGTATTATCAAGATCACTTCCAGGGACAACTGGGGCTTGACCCCTCTGGGGACTTTTTGAGGAATGTATAGAGTATATCTTTGAATCATCTATTTAGGAGGGCTGGGGAGAAGTTCTTATACCCTAGTGGTTGAGGTTTGCTCCCCTGAGGATGGTAATTCACAACACACAGTTCTATACTGGGCCTGTGTACTAAGTAGGACCCTGCTTGTGCCCATGTTGTCAAAGGACAAGAATCTGACCATTTTTTTCTTATCCATCATCTGTTTTCTCATCCACTTATGCTCCAAGAACACAGGTATTAATGAGCTTGAGCTATTTTTAAGTGTACAATTCAGTAGCATTAAGTACATTTATTCATATTGTTGTACAATCATCACTGTTATCTGTCTCCAGAAACTTTTCTTCATCCCAAACTGCAGTTCTGCACATATTAAAAGTAACTCCCAGTGCTGGTAATCCCCAGGCTATGACAACCAGCATTTTACTTTCTGTCCTCTATAAATTTGACTAATCGGGGTACCTTTATAAGTGGAGCCATATAGTATTTATCTTTTCATGTTTGGTTTATTTTACATACTTTAATGCCTTTAAAGTTCATCAATGTTGTAACATATATCAGAATTTCATTTCTTTCAAGGCTGAATAACATTCCATGTAGGTATATACCATAATTTGTTTATCTACTTATCCATCAATAGACATTTGGGTTGTTTTAATCTTTTGGCTTCTGTGAATGATACTACTATGAACATTAGTGTGCAAATATCTGTTCAAGCTTCTGATTCCAGATTCTCTGGGGCAAATGGCCATAAGTGGAATTGCTACAGTATATGGTAATTCCATGTTTAATTTGTTGAGTAGCTCCCTCAGTGTTTTTCATGACAGTTGTGTCATTTTATGTTCCCACCAGCAATACATTGAGGCTACAGTACCTCTACATCCTCATCAACCAGTAAGCCTTTTTAATTTTTGCCATTCTGGTGGGTTCATGGAAGAATACCTAATGGTGTTGAGCATTTTATCATGTGCCTACTGGATATCAGAATATTCTTTTATAAAATGCTATTAAAGGTTTTGTGTTTTTTTACTAGTATGTCTTTTTCTTAATGACTTGTTTCTTTTCAAACATATGTATTATAGATATCTTTTTCTATGTGTAACTTGGCTTTGAACTCTCTTAATGATTTCTTTTGATGAACAGAAGTTCTTAATTTTACTGTAGTTTAATGCATATTGGAGGAGGAAATGGCAACCCACTCCAGTATTCTTGCCTGGAGAATCCCATGGGCAGAAGAGCCTGGTAGGCTACAGTCCAACGGGTCGCAAAGAGTCGGACACGACTAAGTAACTAACACTTAGGGTGTATTGTTTTGAAAAGATGTTTAGTGCATATTGTTTTAAAAATCTTAACTAAGATTCCATTTGGGATTGCTAGTTACAAGTATTTAAGCCCATATTTGAATACTGTACATTTCATCTCTTTGATCTTAGGTATCATAAAATATAAATGGTCCCACTTGAGGACATTACAAACCTGTCACCCATTTTACTCAATCCTTTATATATGAAGCTGTAATTTCAAAAGTGAAAAAGCACTTTTATCCGCATGATTTAACGGTGATATATATTTAACATATCTTCAATTGCCCTTGCTACCTTCCTGAAAGGTAATATATTAAAACTAAAAATAGTCACTCATAGCTGTTAAAAGGGAGGATTTATTTTACATGAAATGGCATAAAAAACCAAGCACAACTTTAAAAACACAAAATGTGATTAAATATCTGGTATAAAAAGAAGGCAGTGCCTTTATTCCTTTGAGGTTCTATGGCTCTTGTTCTGATATTACTTCATCCTAATGTTTTAGAAATGAGTAGTCTGTAACCTCTGAGAAAGGGACCTAGAAATCAGGATATCCCGCAGTAGAAGAGAGCAAGAGGGCATTGTACACAACAGTGCAGGAAAGTCCCAGGCAACAGAGGCAGAGCCAGTGTGGCAAGCGAGCCATTTAGCCTGCAGCAGGAGGATGGCTATCTCCAGAAGAGGAAATTAGTATCTCATGTGCTCACACATCCTGAGATGAGATTTATACATATGCAAGAGAGTCTGGGAATAAATTAGCAAGAGGTACACTAAAAGCTAACCAAAGAGAAAACAGGGCAGTTACCAAGAGCCGGGAACATAAAATTTATATAAAAGGAATATGTAGTATCTAAAAAAAGGAAATGTTATAGCATTTTATCATGTGGCTCAGTTGTGTATAACACGTATTCAGAATAGTAAGAACACCATATACTTATCTAACCAGAAATTACGATATAAATGTACTGGGAGGGGAAGTGTGTCTAGGTGTGAGAAGGGAGGGATGTAAAAGAGATATGACTTCACTTTCTATAGTAGGCAATCAGCAGCTAAATTTTCAAAATCAAGAAACCTCAGTATATATTATTAAGAAATACAGAGTTAACACCAATACACACACACACACACACATGCACACACACACACAAAGAGTTGAAAGTGTTTTTTTCTGGGAAGCAGAAATAAGGTGGTTGGGCAGAGATCAGGAACAGGGATCCTATTTTGCATAACAAGCACTATGGAACCCTTAACATTTTCACTATGTAATTTGAAAAGTAAAGTTTAAGTCAATACAGTGATTAAAACAATGTGAACCCAAAGAATGTACTGGCCTCTAATGCCACACAAAGTGAAGTTATTTCTTTTGCTAATAGTTTTGAAAGGGACTTCTAGGGAGACCCACCTAATCAGGTAGGTCAGGAAAGGTTTCTTTGGGAAAGTAACATTTAGGATGAAGCTTGAGCAGTGGAATGAGTCAGAAAGGGAGAAGAAGAGTATTTTAGAATAAAGGACTAAGACTTGCATGGGCCCTGAATAGGGAAGCTTCCAGGGTCATACTGAAATACTTGTTCGGCCAAAGAGGAGTGAACATGGAGGAAAAAGGCATGAGAAGAGGCTGAACAGGCCAAGAAAGAGACTACGCTGAGTGGTCCTCCTGGTTTTAATGAGGATCTTTCTGGCCTATGTACTGAATCATCTCCACTTACCTCCTCACAGGTAAGGTAATAGGATTAAGCT